GACTTGTGAGAAGTGGCAAAAAGGTCTAACAATTATGATTACGGCATCCCTCTTCATAATTGTTTAGACACACAAATGTGCTATCTAAGGGAAGGTGTATGTTTTTGATAAAGTCTTATCAAAACAATCTAGTATCAGAAATCTGAACTTTGGTAACAAAGTCAATAAAGTATTGATTTCTAGAAATCAAGCTTTCCGAGTATATGTCAAAGCTAGTGGGAGCATAAGTGTTATGCTAATAATCATCATGTTAGTGGGAGCATGATAATTATGATAAGTATTGCAAGTTAGCAATGTTAATTATAGAAAAACAAAAGGTTTCGATTGGGAAAAAGTTGTTTTGCTATAATTAAGGGAGAGGAAATTATACATCATCTCAAATCTATAAGCTTAGATCGTGAGGTTTTAATCATTTAGTCAAGAATATATATGAATTTCATGTTGGAATGGCTCAACATAACGAAATTCTATATATGGGTCCATTATTTGCGTTCTTAAATTCGATTATGATTACGGCATCCCTTTTCATAATCTGAATTATGAGAACATGGCAAATTGAAATGGAAATGTTATAGCAAAAGACTGGTTTAGTCTTTATGTGAGACATCATGAATCGTGTCCCATATGCTTCGGATATAGGACCGATTACATGTGCTATATTCATCCTTTCTAAAATTCTCCGAATGCCTGGGGCGTTAAGAATGGAAAAGGTTTAGAACTGGATATGACTAAAAAGGATTAAACAATTGTCGAGGACAATCTAAGGTTTACCAAAGATTGGTTGCTCAAGGACAATTGGAAGTATACTGATAATTCTGGAAAGACCATATTGACATAATCTGTTAGGAGGCAACTCTTGTTCAGAAGTGATAGTTGAAATGGAATCTGGAAATGTTTCAAAGTTGGAGTTTTCAATCTATGTAAGGTTAAGGAAACTTAATGCAAGAAGGATGGTTCCAAGGACTTGATCTCCTTTGGAATGCTCTGTAATGATTGTTGTTAAGTCTTTCTGACTTTGTGCATAATCATTACAAGAGGATCGATGCATATAAGTTTAGAATCTAACAGATTTCAGTAAATGACATGAATTTGGAATTCTTGCATTTGCAGTAAGGATTTGGGAGTGTGAAAAGAGAATCATTGAAGTTATGTTCATTTGATCTAGTTCACAAAATAAAGATCATAGACAAACATATTATGCATACTTGGTGTATGGCATGACTAGTGTTTAGAAAACATAGTGTGCATGCTTGGAGCATGGGACAACTATTGTTTTAAATTCAAGAATAATGTTGATAGCTGAAACAGTATACAATGAATAATGTGTAATCATATGGTGATAAATAAAAGGTGTTTTATTTATATTCATAAGTTCTGAGACCATATTGGATTCAACTATTATTGTGTTTCACTTTGCATGTTTTGACTTCCCGAATAAACTAGGTTATTCTTCCGGAATGACTGCGTTATTCAAACCATCCACAGTCGGTCATATGTTGGAAGTATATATGAATTAACACTATCATGGGTTGGCTTGTAGAGGTCTAAGTTGTTGGACAAAGGGATACAATACTCATGAGTGCTCATAAGTTCTGAGTATTGGATTCAACCCGCGCTCATTGGAATCACTTCATGGATTTTATCACGAGTGATCATGAGACTATAATATCTTATATTCTTCAAACCTAGAGATATGAGTTGTTACTATGAGTTGATAGTACATTGATTACACGAAACGCATTGGTAACTCGATGTTATAAAACGTGTCTTTGTGTATGATTCAACAAGTAGTAGAACAAGCCATATGAGTCGAAGTTTATCCATTCCTTTTACCTTCGGGATGAAAGCGATATTTGTGGGCCCCTCGATGATTTGATGATGACAAATGGAAGTGCTCGGCCGGGCCAGGACTGATTTGATTTTGTTCAATTAGTCAGTCGTCATAAATCGGGAATCGGGAAACAACAAATGGACAGAGAGAATGATTATAATCCATGTCTCAGTCCATATGATATCTAGAATGGAGGAATATATGATCCCTTATCTAATGGACAAGTCATTGACAAGATCAGAGTTCATCTACAAGGTCAGAGTTCGATAGAAGTTTTTGAGAGCTACGATTGCCAGTTGGTTCCTGAAGTCATACGCAATAATAGTTTTAGACTTATCCAAGTGGGAGACTGTTGGATTAATGTCTAAGTCCATAACTATAATTGGTAAAACTTGACCCGACCCGGCATGGTCCATTTGGGTTGCATGGCATCATGCACTTGGATAGACTAAAATGAGAGAAATAACACTTAAGGTTTGTTAATATATTATAAGTTCTAATATATTAATAAGGTTATTTAATTAGTATTGATCAAGAATTAATTTGGAATTAATTAAGTGATCAAAAGGAGACTAATTAAATATATGGGTTGATTGTGTAAATCATTCATTCTTATATATGTGGGCTTGTGATCCAAGATTCCTTATGTTGGACTAAGTCCATGGGGTGACCCATGGATACTCCATGGAGGTTAAAATCCATGGAGCATAAGGAATGGGTAAAGTCATGAGTTACATGGTGTAACCCTAATAGCCACCATATAAAAGAAACCCATGGCTCAAGAAATCGTGACTATGTGTGTGTATGAGGGCTAGACGATTTCATGAAGTGTTCTAATTTCTCTCTAAGTTATTCCAAGTGCTTATGGTGTTGTGTGAACCATTTGAGGTGTCACACTTGGGGCACTAGGCACTCAAGCTTCATGAAGACAAGCACCATCAAGAGGTATGTATTCTATCTTGTTATATTGATAATATTGTATGCTAGATTAGGATAATACCTTGGATGTTCATATTTGCATGTATAATAGAGAAAACATAGATCCAAGGTATTTAGGGTTGCATGTACACTTAGGAGTGTTAGAATGCTCATAACCCAACACTTGTAACATGCCAATTTTCAAGGACAAAAAATTCATTTTTTAAATAAGTTATTACATAAAACCATCAGTATAAAAACATTCATAATAATATCTCATGTCAAACCCAAAGTGTCAATAATCAAAACATATTATCATAAAACCATATCAGAATGCAATCCCAAAGATCTCATGTGCAGAAAACATAGTGTGATGCACTACGATCAAGCCGACTCCTTTCCATTGAAAACGAGTACCCGAAACCAAAATTGTAAACCGTAAGCACGACGCTTAGTGAGTTCCCCCGTCATTCCACATACCATACAATCACATAGCATACATTCTGTCGAGCAATTCTGGGATGCCCAACCTACCCAGTACGACCATTCTGGGGTGCCAACCTACCCAGTATGGCCGTTCTAGGGTGCCGACCTACCCGTGTCAAGCCATTCTGGGTGTTGACCTACCCATGTCAAGCCGTTTTAGGGTGCTGACCTACCCTTCGGTCCTAACATCCGAACCTTGGGGACTATTCCACCCTACTACTACTATTACATATATCATAACATAAACATATTGCCAGACATATCTGGGGTGTCCGACCTACCCTTCGGTCCTAACAACCGAACTTGGGGACTATTCCTCTCCTACTACAACTATCACATATAACATATCATGCCAGCATATAAACATATCATAACATAGTGTCAGACATATCTGAGGTGTCTGACTTACCCTTCGGTCCTAACAACCGAACTTGGGGTCTATTCTCCCCCTACTACCATTATCACATATAACATATCATGCCAACATATAACATATCAGGTAGCAGCAAATCTAGATGAATATCACAAAAATAATCACCTAACATACGACTCCTACTGATGGGTTGGCATTGTGGCCGTAGAACCACTGCTATTGGAAGGTAACTCACCTCACATTACTAAAGTCCTGTAGACACAATCCCACACTGTTGAAGTCCCGCAGACTCAACCCCAGCTGCTGGATGATAGATTCCCGAACTGTCAACACCAAAATAACACCCAATTAGTAATTGGGTTCCAATACATATGCTTGGGGGTAAAAGGCTACTCTACCCCTAACTTGGCTTGATTCAAGCCCGAGGCCCAATCGAAAGGCCTAAAAGTCCAACTATGGCTCAAAGCCCAACATATGGCCTAATTTTACAAATTGGGCCCAAGTCTTTACATGGTCTTATTCTAAGGCCCAACATCATATAATCACTAGGGCCCAAACTATGGCCCAATTTTCCAAATTGGGCCCCAACCCCTTAGGCCTTACCCTAGGCCCATTAAAATATTCTAGTCAATTGCTTGACTTTGGATGGTCCATTAATAACCCAATCATCAAGGCCCAATAGAGATGCCCAACAATAAACCCAAGTGAATTTAGGGTTTCACATTGAATGATGATTAGGGTTAAGTTTCCTAATTAACCCATTAAGGACTTCATCCATTAAGTCCAATATTGCTTAGATTAATCTTTGCCTATTATTATTATTTAATATCTCAAGTTGTTAAATAATTCTTGCATGTCCCAGTTAATTCCCCAAATTAGGGTTTTATTGGCATTAGGGTTTTCCAACCCAAATACTAGCCCATTTATCAATTTGTTGGGCTTTTAGGTCAATTAAAGCTTTATTGGGCCTCTTAGGCCCACTAGAATATCATTTAGCCCATTAGGATTTTATGTTGGTCAATTAGTGTCCATTAGATCTTACAAGGTCCATTAGGGTTTCAAGCACCCCAAACGAATCAAACTCACAAGACAAGTACACCGTCACCCGACACGGCGGCCGGTGGCGGCAGCCACCACCTCACAGTGGTGGTTAGGGTTCCGTTTTCATTATTCCAATTTATGATTACATTTTGCAACTCTAATCCCAAAATAAACACACTAAACAAACTAATCACACACACAGGCGGCACATGGTGACAGCCACCGCCTCACATGGGTGGCAGTGGCGGCCCTAGGCTTTCCAGCCAAAATAGATCACACACAACACACCCACGACCGGAAAGACACATACACACCCGATTTTGCTTGCAAAGAACACCCTACAGCCACCAGATGGCACAAGGTGGTGGCAGGCAGAACCATGGAGAGGAGGCGGCAATGGCTAGGCGGCATTCTAACGGCAGTAGTGATGACACCACTTCGAATCACACTTCCACAAATAAACCCTGTTGCTGGTCCCTCGGGGGTGAATCTCAACCAGAAAACTGGATTTAGGTTGTTCTGGCGATGGATGTTGGTTGTTGGCTGTTGTGGGACGAGTTCAGGAGCGGTGGTGGTTAACACGACACTGGCAACAGTCGAGTGCGATCGTTAACGGCGACAAGAAACGAGAGGGAGAAGAGGCGACAGAGAGAATAGCAGCGACGCTCACAGCTCTGCCGATAGGTCTTGTTGTCGCTGACAGTAGGGCACAACGGTGGCGGTTCGGTGACAATGAAATAGTGACAGTTGCTGCCTTCCAACTTCGTCGTCGGCTGATGCGGTGGTTGCTCCCCTCTCCAGTCGGTCTTCCACGCTTCCTGTGAGAAAGACTACGCTGATGTGCTAGACGATCAACAAAGTGAACGAGGTGGGTGATGGAGTCGGAGGCAAAAAAAGAGAGTGTCGGTTGTAAAATGGTCGATGGGGTTAGGGTTAGGGTTTGCTTAACCCTTTATACTAGGTTCTCTTCAAAGGTTGTCCATAATGACAAAAGTAGCCCCTCCTCTCCCCATGTCCTTCAAAATAAATCCAATAATTACCCGTTGAACCCTCACCATTAAAATCCCTTACAACTTAGGTACACAATTTACCAAACAATCCACCAGTGTCTTAATTATAACATATTCATCCCCTCCACCTCATTTCTTTTTAAAATAATTCATGATAATTACCAAGGATCCCTTGTCGTCATAAATATTTATAAAATGAGTCCCGAACACATACTTTTAACCCCCGACTTCTGAAAATGTGGCAATTAACTCCTCAAACCCAACACCCTGCATATATAATTATTTATTTTAGGCTACCAATCGTTCATTAATTTATTTATTTAACTAATAAATAAACGGGTGTTACAAAAGGCCACAAATTGGTTCCACTCTTAAACTGTTACTTACTTTAGATATTAACTAGACTCAATAATGTAGAAAATTAAACAGATGTTACTTGTAATCTGACTCACTTTATTTTAACATAAAGGACCCATGAGATAAATCAGTAACCTTTAGGCTTTTTATTAGGATTAGGTTTTCATAATGCAAAACTTATTATGTCCTTCAAACTTCATAAGGTCGTGTTTTTGTCTCATCATTTCAGTAGGACTGGAAAGCCGCAAATATACTAAAACATATTTGTTCAATTAAACTTTAGAGTTCGCATCGAATCGTCCCACACAACACTAGCAACTTAAGTCCTAATGAAACAATATCAAAAAATTTAAATTTTACTAGATTTCTTAATTAGACCATTTTTCAAGTCTATATAAAAAAAAATTAATATTTCAAATCTAGCAATTTTTCAATTATACTTGAAAATTCTTTTTCAACACCCTACCCCCACACTTATTTATACAATCAACTCATTGTATCTATAAACAGTTAAAGCACATAACAGCTAAAATGAGAAAAATGAACATACTCCCCTAGGGTAGTCGTGGTGAGATCAAAATAATAATGGGTTGCTTGAGAATTATGTTGCTCCAAAATCTATTGGAAAACTAAAAACTGGATTAGCTACTTTTTCTGCTCAGATCAGGAGTTGGTGTGTGAAGTGATTGGTGAAAACATCGTATAGCAAAAAATTATGAAGATCCCGAAAAGGTGAATAATAAGAGCTAGATTCATGTCCGCCAAACATTATTATTGTCTCTCGTATAAGTAATCACTTTTGATAAAACCACGTTCCCTCTCTCATGTAGGTAAGTTACCCCACACTTATGTGACACAATGCCTCTCATTAACTCTTTCTAATGACAAAATCGCACTTGATCCTAGTAGCTAAACTTACTGCAACCATTCTAAGGGCAGTATTTCTACAAAAAAAAAATCTAAAACATCAAAGAGCATCAACATGGAAACCAAAAGAAATTACATCAACTAAATATAAAACCAAATAACCCAATTTAAACGAACGAAATAAAACATAGAAAAATAAAATACTAAAATACTAAGTTTAATGAATACAAAAAAGAATAAAAAGGATAACTACAGTCACTCATCATCATTGCCGTCCTGCTGTTGTGTCCCTGATGGGCCAGATCTATCAGTTGACTATCTATATGGTGGAGGAAAAGTGACCATATAATGAAAACCATGGTGGGCGAACAATGTAGGGAAATCATCTCCACACCATTATAGTAGAATCTCGAATACATCCATGCACTCATCCATACGTTGAGCAAGGTAATGGATATCAATCTCATCCTCTGGTCCTTGTTGCGCTCCCTTAGGGACAGTCTATGCATCCGATGTTTTGATGGCTTTGGTGCTGCTGCTATCCCCTCAACTATTGGTGTCGCATCATCGATCCATGAGAGTACAAGATTCAGTTCGCGGACAAGGTTTGAAAACTCAAACCTTGAATTAACTTTTAAGATCAATGTCTACTGCTAAAATATTGGTCCAGTCAAGACTTGAAGATGTTGTTCAACAAAGTATTCAAGTAAGTAAAGTAGAGTAAGAACACAGTAAAGACAATTTAAGAACAAGAAGAATGTAAATGAAAGAGATTTGACTTGCAAGAGAATTAGTAATTGATATGAAGAGAATAATGTTATTTCTTGCTTACCATTCATGAAACATCATCTCCTTAAATAGTAAAGGAGAGACATAGTACAAACCGAGAACATTCTATGGACTAGGTAAAACTAAGTATTTGAAAATTCTAAAACTTAAAAGATTTACTAATTTGGTCCTATACTGTTCACTCAACTAAAAAGACAAATAGCATTTAATGTTTGTGCAGACTCTATCACATCAAAAACATAACTTTGGATTTCTTGAAAATGTCTTCATCTTTGAAGAAGACAGACTTCAAAACACTTTACTTCTCGGATTAAGGTTGACTTTAGATCTGGTTTGGCTCAGATTGCTAGAGATTTACTTTTATGCATTAAAAATCTCCCCCTAAGTGAACTTATAAATCAATCAACTTAGTGGGATGCATCATACACAAAGAGATAGGCACTTTGTAGTCAGCTTCAGACTTCCAAGTACCATTTTAGGCATTTAATGAACTTCTTCTTCACCTTCTCGGGAGCTTCACTTTTTGTAGCGTTAGAGATGAACTTCTAAATGATCTTTGTAGGAACTAGATGTTTATCAAGAACTCTAAAGAATTATTTTCGGTAGATATTCTTTTTGAGATAGGTGTATCTAAGTTCCAGTTCTTTAATGGGTCCTTCTTCCAACATTTGAGCTTCAGGCAGTTCGTAAGTGATTTTCGCCAAAACATTTTATGTTCCGAACAAGTGAGACAATTCAATATCGGACCTGTAGAATTTTGTAACGTGGTCCTTCAAGAAATTGGTTGCAGCACTGTAAGCTCTGATGCTTAAGTGATTATTTTAGCGATCTCAGAGATGAGAAACAATGGTGAGAATGTCATTGGGGTTGATTGAGGAAAAGTCCACATCCATGAGAGTGGGGGTTTCTTCTTTATTCTGAGAGACATAGTATCTGTACAACATACATTTGAGATTGAACTTGCTCTTAACCTTGTTACTAAATGCAACAATCTTCGTAATCCTCTTCCGAGACCACACTTCTTTTTGAGGACGTGCATTAACGGAGTAGAAGGTCCTCACTTTGCCATGCTATCCTGATGATTGTTTGTGGATCATCATTCAGATGAAGATGAGTGTATTTGATGTAGAATTTACCATGTGGAAAAAATGGAGATCAATTTGGTCAGCATCATGAGTTGGAAGATCATAGTACATGAAGGGCACAAAATCAATATTGTGAATAACTCCTTCTTAGAAAAGAGGAGATATGCCCAACATCGGATTCAGATTATCTTTCAGTGCTTAAATCCTAATGCTTTCTTCCATGGCTTAATCTATTTGCTCTTAAGACCAGCCCACAGACTTTTTGAATGTCTTCATTGGATTGTCTGGTTCAGTAGGAATCTTCTTTCCTTTGTCTTGATGAGGCTCGTTTGGGTTAGAGATGATTTGTTGGACTGTTTCAGAGATGTTGAATTCAGGTGGAGGAGTAAGTAAGGGCTCTTTGGGGAGATCATCAGGTTTTCAAGTTGGAGAACCTTCATAGATCTAAATGATCCTCGTAGCAGGGATTGGTGGGTGCATGGATTGTGACTAAATTTCAACTCTCTCTCTCTCTCTCTCTCTCTCTGTCTGTATCTATCTATCTATCTATCTATCTATCTATCTATCATTTGGAAATCTATAGGATTTCAAGAACAAGTATAATATCATACTATACGACTCATATATGCTTGTTTATGACTAAATTGTTATTGGTACATTCCCTGTCAACAAAATTCATGTATCACTGCTATTTGATAGTACTTCCAATAGAAGTTTCATTGACCATAGGTTTAGAGGCATGCTAAACCATGAATCCTACAACGGCCAAGTAAAAGGAATGTTAGAAATACCTACCAACTATCTTCTCACCCTAAACAATTACATCATTCACATCAGCCTAGTAACCATGATCATTGGAAGTTTCTATGTGAGCATCAGAATGGATTGGTCATCGTCTCACCGAGCCGAAGTTCTATGCTATGACAAATTCGCCCGACTACTCCTACCCAATGATGAAGCACTTGTGATTTACGGAGATAAATCAGGGAATAATCTAATATTCATTTCTTGCATGAAGGCGAGAAACTTCTTATAGAAGAGATTCTTCGCTTTCTTAGCCCACGTCATGGATATGCAAGGCAATGGTATCTACCTGGACTACCCCCAGTCAGACATGTTGAATTATGAATCAAATTAATCACTGGTGCAGCGTCAGTGGCAAGATCTCTTTATCGCCTGGCATTGTCGTAAATGCAAGAACTATCCGGTCAAATTCAAGAACTAATTAACAAAGGCTATATCCGGCCAAGCTTCTCACCCTGGAGAGCTCCGGTAATGTTTTTCAAAAATAAGCATGGCTCGTTCAAGATATGCGTCGACTATTAAGAGTTGAAAAACTCACAAGAAAGAACCAATACTCACTCCTCAGGATTGATGACCTGTTCGACCAGTTGCAAGGACCCTATTACTACTCAAAGATTGATCAGAGATCTAGTTATCATCAACTCATAATTCAAAAAGAATTCATTCTAAAGACAACATTTAGGATCCAGTACGGTCACTATGAGTTCCTGGTTATGCCCTTCGGGTTGACTGGTGCACCAGCCGTATTCATGGATCTTATGAATCGAGTGTCCAAACTGTATTTGGACAAATTCGTGATCATCTTTATCGACAACATTTTAATATACTCACGAACCAAGGAAGAACACAACTAGCACTTGCAATTAATTCTGAAACTATGAAGGAAGGATAAATGTTACGCAAATTTCTCAA